TCGCTAGAATATTGAGAGTTAAGCACATTCTCTTTCTCCATCGGTCATGAACCTGAGGATTTAAGCTTGTCCTTGCTGACTACCCTAATATAGGTGGATTCTGAACCTGTATAGCCAAGTTAAAGCTGGACAGGACCAAATCCTCAAGGCATCATTTGGGCTCCTGGATCAAGATAGGCCTATAGTGGATACACAGAATTCGATTTTATGAACCCATACTTTCTCTTGTTTAGCCAGCTTGAGCTGATTTTTCTATCAGTGGTAACTGAAGAAGCCCTACCTGATACACAGAGCAACATTTTAGTTTTGATTTGTCTTCCATATCTCTGCTTAGAGAGAAAGAAGGCTGATCCCGTAGTCTGGAAAGCTGATTTGTATTGGCGAAGCTCAAGATTAGTTTTACAGTGCAGACAGGATTGAGGTTCTGGTCCTGGTAATGAGGCAAAGATCCTGGGATGTGGAAAATTCATTATGTTCATGGCGAATTACATAACAGGAGGCATTGCACAGCCTCTTCTGTGCACATTGTGAGAGGGCACCCTTTATCTGCAGGGTATACAGATTGTCTGGAGACAACCTTGGGCTGAGTGTATTGTGCCTAGTACAGAGAGATATGTGGAAGATAGAGCACAAAAAGTCCCCTGTTCTTTTTATCTTTCTTGAGATGGAACTTTTCATGAATCTTGCATTTGTACTGTCCTCCTGTGAAGATGTAAAATCTATTTCTTTTCCCTCGTTAATGTGTGCTGACACTATGCCATGCTTTGGCCAGTAGAATAAGGTGAGTGGAAGTGACAGTGTCCTTCTTCCAAGTTTCCAGAGATCTTGTTTGGATTACCTTTCTCAAAACCACTATGAACAAACCCAGGGTAGTTTCTGGAAGGAAAAAGACTTCCCTGTTGATGGGATCTAAGAAGACTCAGCTGAGCTTGTCAAAGCCCAGCCTCTAGCCAGACAAGCCCTTTAAAAGGGAAAAGCCCAGCAGAACCACTTACCCAAAGTACAAACAACCGTAGTTGCATGAATGAGCCCAGGTGAGACCAAGAAGTAATCACTGTTTACTCCTTCACATCAGTAAGTTTTGGGATGGTTTGATATTATGTAATAGCTAACTAAAAACTCTGACTCCCAGGACATTGTTACTCAAGATTCTAATTCTATTAGTTGGGGATGGGATTTATTAATTTATATTTTTAAAAAGTCTGTATGTTGTTGCTCACAACAGATCTGGAAGCAATTAACAACACACCTCTGGCATGGAAATCCTGCAGGTGTATTGAGTACATGGGCCCCAGAATTTTCAGCCAGCCCTTCAACAACTTGTCTTGGAACTATTTAAAAACAGTTGGTGCACTTTAGTAGTGGCAGGCTTCTTGGGTGAGGAAGTCCTGAGATGCGGTCAGGAAGAGAGCTCAGGGAGTCCTTGCAGCTGAAAGTAAAAAAAGCATCACAATTTCTAGACACTCAATTTGAACTCTATTAAATGAATCACAGACCCTTTGAGAGAGCTTCTTGTTCTTGATTCAGCTGTGTTCAGTTCAGAAAATGGCCTGTGGGGACAGGTTTGTCACAGGCGTGCAGGTGCCTGTCTGCTTTAAGACAGAGGACTCCCTCCAATCTGTTGGTGAGACAACCTACTTTATAATTGAAAGTAAGCCTGACCTGAGCCTTCTTTGGCTCTGAAAATAATGCCATATCCTCTGGCCTTTGAGCCCATGAGTGACAGTGGCTGCCTTTCTGAACACAAACAGTGCTCTTTCCATTTAGCTCCTTCCATTCGGTCCCATGCGGACCATAGGACGGGGTTAGGGTTTCCTACTGTGCACTGTGTGCACCGATAAGTGCATAGAAAATTTCATCTTGAAACAGTTCCTCCATGCAAAACTTCATGTTGAGACACTGCAGAAGGTGGTCCATTAAAGGAACCATGGAAAAGTTTATCGCTGTTATTTTAGCATTGATCTAGAAGCAACAGCCAATACAATTACAAGAGAAAGAAGTAAGTATTAATGTTATAAAGGAAAACACCAAAATTATCATAATATGCAGTTGATAATATCACAAACAAACCAACAGAATAAATGGAAAAATTATTATAAATAATAAGAGTAGTCAGGTAGCCTCTTATAAACCAACATGTAAAATTCAATTCGTTTATCTTTAACTTTTTATTATGAAGTGTTTCATAATACAAGTGTATGCATATATGTAATTAACAATGTATACAATTAAAATTAAAACTCCTCATAATAAATGTATTCATGATGTACTATAATCATGTGCTAGAGAGTAACCAATGCTTTCTAATCACATCTCCTTCCCTTGAGTAACATCTAATGTTAGTAATTATCTTGCTTTGTTTACAGTGGTGCCAAAATTACCTGTATCCCTATTTGCTGTATAGTATTTTATCATGTGACTATGTACTATGTAATTAAAATTCAAATATGTATTTGTATATAAATATATGAACTGCATGTTCAAAGCTGAAAGATATAAATGAAACATATCAAGGGTACATACACATGCACATTCAGTATACAGCCCCATCTTTTGTTCTCTTTTGGTATCTGAATGAAAACTACTCCTATCTGGATGTCATGATGACATTTTTCTATACGGTCTCCCTTTTTGTATTAAAGTTGAGTTTTAACTTTTACAGTTAGTTTTAAATTTACCTGGAAATAAGCATATAGTTGTATATCATATATAACTTGTATATAGTTTGAATGATGCATTCAATTCCTTTTCCTTATTTCTTCCCACTTTTCTTCCCCCTCTCCCTTGTGTCTTGCTCCTTTTGCAATCTTCTTCCCTTTCTTTCCCTTATTCTTTCATTCCTTTCTCCATTCTCTCTCCCTTCCTTCCTTCCTCCCCCACTCCCTTCCTCCCTTTCTTCCTTCCTTCCTTCCTCCCTGTCTACCCCCTTTCCTTCCTTCCCTCTTTCTCTTTCTTTCTTTCTTTCTTTCTTTCTTTCTTTCTTTCTTTCTTTCTTTCTTTCTTTCTTTCTTTCTCTCTCTCTCTCTCTCTCTCTCTTTCTTTCTTTCTTTCTTTCTTTCTTTCTTTCTTTCTTTCTTTCTTTCTTTCTTTCTTTCTTTCTTTCTTTCTTTCCTTCTTTTTCTTTCCTTCCTTCCTTCTTTCTTTCTCTCACCTACTGCTCCAGCTCTGTATATTGAGGAACCTGTCTTTCCCCACTGATTTGTACCACACCCTCTGTGAAAAGGTACACAGTCACAACAGGGCCTATTTCTGGGTTTCTGTACTATTTCATTGGCTTATTTCTCACCTTGCATCAGATCCATATTATTGCAATCATAACTTCATAAAGAATCTTGACATTTAGTTCTTAACATTTGTCTTAAATATTCTTATTTTTACTTTCATATAAATTGTAGAATTATTTATCTATTTGCACGTGTGTGTGTGTGTGTGTGTGTGTATAATGAGTAGAACTAACATTTTTATGGTGTTCCAAACTACTGTATAAACAAATGCATATTTTCATTTGATCAACTTTTATTTATTCTTTTATTCTTTTAATTGATTTTTTTTTTAGTTAAAAATTTTTTTTTGGTAACAGGGTCTTACTACATAGTTCAGACTCACTGAACTCACTGGGTAACCCAGGTTGGCCTCAAACACATGGCAATCTACCTGCCTCAGCCACTTGGGTGCTGGGCCTGCAAGCATGCACCATCACGCCCAGCCCTCTACTGATTTTTATAATTTGGCCTACAGAAGGTAAAATTTTGTGAGGTACCTGTTGTTTTAAATGTCATTGTTAATTGTTGGCATTATTTTAAAATTTCAATTTCTCTCTGTTTATTTCTGCTGTACACAAATGCAATTGATTTTGTGAATTGTTTTTTAAAACAACACAACTAGCTTGATTTAATATAGTTGTGTTTAGAAACATTTTCCAGTTAAAGAATGCATTTTCTCTTAAGCCTGCGTGGACTGTCTACTAATATTGAGAATGTTTTATGTTATAACTGAAATGCAAAGAATCTCTATCATATATACCACCTTATGTGTCCATAACTTAAGGAGAATTATGAAAAGCAACTTGGAATTGAAAAAAGTTTCTTTGGAAAAAAGACTTTAAGAAGATCAAAGAAAACACCATAAGGAGAAAGAAAATAATATTCAGACTGAAATAATAATGAAAATGCTATACTATATATCAAAATGTGTGGGATATCTGAATACTAAAGAGGAAATTACCTAAGTTTTTTGTTAAGTATTCTTAAAACTTGTATTAGAAAAGGCTGAAATTCAATGAGCTCAATGTCAAGGTTAAGAACTGAAACAACAACAGAGCAAATACAAAAAAAGTAAGGTGATAAAAACAAAAGCAAAAATGAAAGAAGTAGAAAACAGATGACAAAGGTCAACTTAGGTAAAAATGGATCTTTTTTGAATGGATCCAAACTATCATAATGCATAAACACACATACAATCTTATATGTATGTACACAAACAGAATTAGGAATGGAAAAAGGAGAAATTTAAGGCTACAACATGCATGTAAATACATGAGAATAAATAAATGACGCCTATAATACTAAAAACTTTCTAAAACATATAGAAAATATAACTAAACCTGATTTAAGAAAATAGAAGACAACATTTCCATAAAGTTTGACACAAAACAAAATGATACAGGTAGTTTTATAGGTGAAGTCTTAAAAATTTTAAAGTAACAGATAAGATTAAAGTAACAGATAAAATTAATCTTACAGAAGTTCTTCTAGACAATCCAAAATCAATGGAACACTTTCTAATTCAATTTCTAATACTAAAATAACCAAAGTTCTAAAATTTGACAGAGGTAGTAAAGAATAGTAAATTAAAGGCCAACCAGCTCTGGAATTCAGGTGCTAAAAACAGATTCAATCTAGGAAATGTACATAAAAATATAGATGATAAAGTGAAAATTAGTATGTTCAAGGAACTCAAGCTTGGTTTAAAAGTAGCAATTAGTTAATTAATAAGGGATGTCCAGATAGCTGGTGTTGATTTAGGTCTAAAATGTACCCCAAAAGTCTCATGTCAGAAATTAGGCTTTGGGATAGCGATTAGATCATTGGGGCACTATACTCAACCATTAATAAGTTGATAGCTAAATGTGCTGTTAGGGAATGGGACCTGCTGAGACAGGCAGGTCACTGAGGCTGTGACCTGAAGGGCAAATTCTTGTCCCTGCTTCTCCCTGTTTTCTCTCTGCTTCCCGTACACCATGTTGGGGGCAGCTTAACTCCATCAGGATCTTCCACCATGTGGTTTCTGTTCTTGAGCCAGTTGTCATGGACTTAACCCACTGGAGCAGAGACCTGAAATAAATTTAATTGCATGTTTGTCCAAATGCCAAGCGAGCTGACTGTACAGATTTTGGTACCAAAATAAGGGCAATGGAAACTTTCGTCTAGATATCAAAGGAAGGTCTGGGAGGCCAGGCAATGTGCCCCTGAGAGAGCAATGTGTGCCATTTATATGAATGAAGCCAAAGGTGCAGTGGAGGCCCTAGCAATTGGGAGATGCCAGGAATGTGGTATGTCTACTGAAGACAGCCAGTGAGTAGAGCCAATCTAAAAGAGAGGCCATATGTTCTGAAACCAGTAACATACAAGCCCTTTAAACCTCATGTCTTACCACTGTGTGTTGCTGCTGCTAGACATGGAGCTAGAGTTTAATGTTTACCATGTTGGGTTTTGGTCTTACATTGGTTCAGTTTCTTTCTATCCCCCATTCCTCTCTTTTGCAACAGCAATGGTTTATGCCTTGGAACTGGCTGACCATGGACTGAACCCACTGAAATTATGAGCCACAATAAACCTCTCCTCCTGCAATATGTGGGTTTTGATAGTTTTGTCCCAGTGATGAGAAAGTTAACACAGCTGGCAAAATGCCATTTCTGGGAGTGTCTGTGAAGATGTTTCTAGAAGAGATTAGCACTTGAATTGGTTGACTGGGGAAAGAGGATTCACTTTCACACATGTAAATGAGCACTGTCCAATCCACTGAGAACCCAAGTCAGAGGAAAGACTTTGTCTTAGCTTGAGCTGAGCTGGGATGAGCTTGAGCTGAGACACCCACCTTCTCTCGCCTGGGATGTCAAGGCTTGTTCTCAGGCCTTCAGCCTCTAAGACTTATTATACTAGCAATCCACCCTCCACCCCCAGGTTCTCATGCTTTTGGATTCTGACTGAATTATACAGCCAGTTTTCCTGGTTCTAAAGATTACAGATGGCATATGGAGGGATTTCTTGGCCTTTATAATTGTATGGATCAATTCCCATAATAAATCTGTTTTTAATATTATTAAATCTAGTTTTATATATCTCACTCTAACCCTACTGGTTCTTTTACTCTGAGAAACCTTGACTAATGAATACATTTTCTTCTGTGGGTTTTCCATCCTCTTCTCTCTGCATACTTTAGTCTTAGACACTCTTTCTGATTTAACTTCCGACTCACTAATTTGTTCTTCAAATGTTTCCAATCTGCAGTTGAATCCATCCAATGCATAATTTATTTCTGTTGATTCCTATTTATATATAATTTCTAGCCCTCTTGTAAAATTCTTAGTCTTGACTTTTATTTACTTGAGAGTTTAGGTAGAGTATTTCAAAGTCTTTGTCTCAACAATTCCACTGTTTGAATCCTGATTATCTGTCAGGAAAGCATCAGTGCCAAGGATTGAGCTCATTCATTGGACTTCTGTTCTCCCTATGTGGTTCCTTGTTAATTCTTCTAGATCAATCAGAGGAAGATGGATCTAAGCTACGTACTCCATCATTTCTGAAAGTCAGATTTTTTACTATTCTGTTTTTTTGCCATTACCTTTATTACTTTTGTAATTATCTTACTTTTGTAATTAAAAAATAAGGTAAATTTCTATGTTTGGACACACAGAAAGATGTCTAAGGCAGGAAGTACAAAATAAGCCACCTCATAAGAGGTATACGATAATATTAAAATGAATATCTAATATTTATTGAGCACTCATTACATGTGAGAAAGTCTTCTAAGGGCTCTAAATGAGTTTGTTAATTTACTTCTCATACGATCCCAAAGAGGTAGTCACTGTTATTAGTCAAATTTTACAGATGAGGAAAGGAAGACAGAGAAGTCAGTGATCTTGCTCAGGTCACACATCTAGTATATAATATATGTAGGATTTACACAGGCTTTCTGACATCCAAGTCACGGTAGTAAACCACTGTAAACCACACCCCAATTTTTCTGTAGAATACACCAAACTGTAACATGGGTTTTGAAAATGACTGATTTTACTTTTTATTCTGTATTTGTGATGTCCAGTGTGGCAGCCACCAGACACATATGAGTATTTAAACTTAAGATAATTAAAATAATTAAAAAGAGTTGAACATCAGCTCTTCAGTTACAGTAGTTCCGTTTCAAGTATTCTCAGTAGCTATAGGTGGCTAATGGCTATATTATTGAATAGCACAGATATAGAACACTTCCATCATTCCTGAAAATCTTATTGGACAGCAATCTCTGTAGAGTTCAATAATATTTGAATTTTTTATAAGTATGTATTCATGATTTGTTTTTCTAATTAAATAGAAAAGATCAATGACAAAAAGAAAAACTGTTTACTCAAAGCCAAATTCCTTTTTGTTTTCTTCTTCTTTTTTTTACTTGACCATATCTTTGTCCGACTTTCTGGAGCTGCTGAGAACTTCTCTTTCTCCTAAAAAATTGCCCCTCCCAGTATTTTAAAACAACACAATACTTAAATCAGTGAAAATCTCATTCAGATAATATCTGCATGAGCTTTCTAGCAGTGGCTTCTACATGAGGCTATATTCCTCGTGACTATTTGGAAGCTTTTAAAATGTGCACTGTTTTCAAGACATGTTAAAAAGTCTGTCTCAGAAACATGTTGGCAAAATACTCAGAAGTTATTTTACTAAAGGTCAAACTCACTGATTATGTCTTCATATGAAATTTAAAATTGTAAAACTGAGGAGAATTTGTTTAAAAGATATTATTTCTGTTTATGAAATATACAAAGAATCATGGAAATTTTGGTCTATAAGGAATGCTTTTATTGACCAAAAATAGAATGGCTTTAGTTTCCTCTACTAAATTTTCTAATAAAGTGAAATTTGGAAATATTTATTCTGAACTTGACCAGACTTCTAATAACTGATGTTCTTTTCTGTGCAAGGATTGATTTGGCCGGCCACAGGTTTCTGGAGGAGAACCAGTAGGGGAGACCCTATTGCAATATTTTAAGAAGTTGAATCTCAGTAATGGAATAAACTGACCTGCGATCTGATGAGCAACCTCATCTAGCACCAAAAAACTTTGGACTGAATTTAAAGGGCCTTAGGTGGTAAGCAGAGGATTTGCTGTTAGATGAGGAGCTTATAGGATGAGTTTCTTGAATTATAGCCCTTCAAACCTTGTGGCTCTTCTTGGGTTGCATACCCAAGGCACTGTCACTAGCATTACCTATCCTTCCACTTAGGCTGCGTAATTGTGCAACATCAAACAAGTTCTAATGTTGGTCAGCTATCACTCTGCTCTGAAGTGTCCTCTTTTCAGAATCCAGGAAAAGTAGTCTCCATTTGGGACATTTTTTCTCAAGGAAACAGTAAAAGCAAACAGTGCTGCACCATCCTATTTCTTTAATACTTCTGCTTTAAAGTACTGTGTGTCATATCCATTCTCGTTTCAATGGGCAAGTCTAGTCACATGATCAGATCTGATGCCAATGCGATGGGAGCTATAATTCTTCTTTTAGGGAGGGTGGCATATGCTGGAGAACAATGATAAAATCTACCACATAGGCTAATGAAAAAGATGTCAAAAGTGAGCTGAAAATGGGTCATAATGAAGGCACAGGTCAAGTGGAACCGATGCCAAGATTTCTCTCTCTCTCTCTCTCTCTCTCTCTCTCTCTCTCTCCTTCAAAAAATGTATACAAGTCTAAGTACTGAGTTTAGGTCACAAGGGCGTGTGATAGTGTGTGATGGCTGCCTGATTATGTCAACTCAAGTAAGAAAGTTCAAGTACATTGGATCAGCACAATTCTGAATGTAGCATATCTTCTTTTTGTGGGTCTGAGGCACTCCTGAGGCTCTGAATTACACCAGAGGGCTCACAGCAAATAATTGAAGCTAAATTTTGACTGGAACCATTATTTGAGAATCATCTATGCATCTATGTGCTCATTAAAGAAATTGTCTGCATCTTCTCAGGCATTATGGAGACATTGTAAATTAGAGCTCTTCACGGTTAATTTGTTTTTCCTTGCATTTAGACGGAGCTAGGGTCAGGGACAAGGAGGGTGACCAGTGGAGAGAAGAGGACGGATGCTAGGCCATGGTGGTGGGAGGGGGAGGAGCATGCAGTGAGATCAGGTAGGGGCATGGGGAGGATGAAGAGAAAGTGGAAGAAGAGGAGGAAGAGGAGGAGAAGGACCAAGAGAAGTCTGACAGGCTCCTGCCCACAAGTAGAGTCTGTTAGGTGCTCCAGATTGGCCTCCAGTCATTAAGTGGGCAAATGCTTTTTACCAGATTGGGCCTATTACCCCCCCCACCTCTCTTAAGTCCTTTCCCACAGATCCAGTGGTTCATGGATTGGAGGTCTTTAGTGGATACCATTTTCTCCTGTAGCTCTTCTGGAATCATCTGTGCCTGAACCCAGTGGCAGAAGACCCTGGGAAACCCCGTGGTACCTTCTTCTTCCTGACCCCCCTCTTCTAGACCCTTCTTCAAGCCCTCTGGCAACTAGGACCTGCAAGGTAAGGATGTCTGAGAGCTGACATGCTCATCCCAGGGGCCTTACAATGGCTGCAGAGGGACAGTACAAGGGAAGAAAAAGAAGAGGATTTGGAAAGCAAGACAAAACAGGGAGGACTGGGGATGAAGAAACAGTTTCCTAGATTGATTCTAGTTAATGGTGAGTAAAACCCTTTTGTTTGAACAAAAGCCCTTATTTAAAGTCATGTAGGGCTGTGTAAACCCTCAGAGAATGAGATGATACTTTCTTACTTTGTCTCAGCTGTCCTCTTCCTGAAGTCTCCTCTGCTAGGCTGGTAGACATGTGGATAAATGGTGGGGGGCTGGGCAGGCTTCTCCAACAATGTGTACTTCCTAAGATGAGAACTGAAAAGAAGAAAAATAAGCTATACATGTCTCTAGTTTTTCATTCTTTATGGCTGAGTAGTACTCCATTTTATATATATTTTAAAAACCCCTCATCTTTATCCAGTCTCCAGTTGATGGGCAATTGGGCTGTTTCCAAGTTTTAACTATTACAAACTGTCACTGTAAACGTGTGCTAATTGGATACGTATTAAGGTCATGCTCTTAAGTGAAATAAATAGGACACACATGTGTAAATACTGTTTCTCTGGTGTGAAAAATCAAAAGTGTAAATAAGGATCCAAATGTATGATAGATTATGTGAAATAGGAAGAAAAGGCCCAAAGGGGAATGGGAAGGCGCAGAGGTAGGGGAAAGAAAAGAAAGGAAAGAAATAAATATGAGAAAAGAGAAAAATGGAAACAAAGTCTTTGTAAATAGGGAAGGGTGGAGAGGGGAAGGGAGGCTAGGGGAACGGGGGAAAAAATAAGAACTAAGATCTGTCATGTAAACATCACTTGTATCCTCGATGCAATAGGAACAGATAAGAACACAATGAGCAAATAAGAACAGAAGTAGTAATCCCAAGAATTTATATAATTGTAATATATAGCCAAATAATTAGAAAGTGATGTTTTTAGTATTTACTACTTTTGATTCTAATATAACATATTTCCTTATAAATTTTATAATTTAATTAAAAAACAATGACCATGTTTAACGACTAATTCACAAAATTTCTGAACATTTAGCAAACTCTTCCTCAGCTGCGTCTTGGCCTGATTATAGCATGTATCTCAGGTGATGGTTTTCAGGGAAAGAAGCGATCCCAGACAAATTCTCCACTACTGCCTCAGGGATGCCGTGCCCAGCTGTTTCTCTCATTCTTGCTGTCAGGTGGGCTTCTGGCCTCAGAATTCTGATCATTTCCAGATTCTCATAGTGTGTTCTGATGAGTGACATCAGAGAGGTTAGAGATGATGGACGACAGGGGTGAACAGGGTGGGGAAAAGGAAGTACGATGCTTCAAGCCTTCTACCCCCTGGCAGATTAAATATGCTTTATTGTTAAATTTTCTAGCTCTCTGAGGTAGATGAACAAGCTGAGCCCCACAGAGGAAATGGCATTTGCCTAAGGTCACACAGCTAAGAAGTTCTGGAACTGAGATCCAAATCCCGCGATATCTGACTCTAAACTAGTTCACCTAATAAACACTTTTACAGATGGACATAATCAATAGTTTAGCTGAGCATAGAATTTTAGGTTGGGGAACATTTTCCTTGAGGATTCTGATGACATTGCCTCATTGTTGCCTGGCTTGGAGAAACTGATTATTCTCTATCTAGAAGTTTTTAGAATCTTTCCCTTACCCATTATGAATATTTTTATCTTAAAGTATTTTGTTCTTTGTAATATCCTTAATTTATATGCTAAACTGATTTTTCCATTTTTGCCCTCACATTATAGTTTCCAAGTGTACATGTTTTGTTTTTGGGTGTTTCCTTTTCTATTCTCATCTTGTGGATTCGGTATCTTTTCTTTTTTACTTTTAGATTTTCGATCATTTCATTTTCTCCTTTGAATTATTTCTTTCTGCCTCAGTTTATTTCTTTTGGGCAATGAAGGGCATCACAGATGTTAGGGACTTTGGGTTATCACTGATGTCCAAGAATGAGCCCCTGGTCAGAGGCTGTGCTTTCCTAGGCTCTGACTGATGATGGACTCACTGCAGGGAGAGCTGGCTTGGCTTTTTCATTGAGGACTCGGGGTCAGTGTATGTACATCTGTTGGGCTGTCTGTGTCATCTAGTGAAACAAATGACAGCCTATTGCCCAGTTGGCATAAGCCAGAGTGCCTGCTTTCTGGGAAGCAAGTATGAGAAGGGGGCTCACAATCCAGCAGGTTGTCCTGCCCCTAATTCCTCTGCTCATCGTATAATTCCTTCCCTCTGCTCCAGCAGGCTCATAGCCCAGCAGTTCTTTGGGTAGACATTGCAGAGAGCCAGCTTTGACTTTCTGCTACCATGGAGGTGGGGATGTGGGGGTGTCAAAGAGTTTCTTATGAGTATATTTAGCCAATCCTGCTGATTTCTGTTTCACCTCCACCTTCAGAAATAGCAGTTGCCTTCAATTCTGAGTCTGTCTGGAACTCTGCCTATGTGGATTCTGTGGTCAAATCAGCGGCTTGTCAGCTTGTTTTGGCACTGGCGTACATTCCACCCATATCCGACATCGTTCATGCATTTACTTCCCAGATTTTCAGCTCTGGGAGGTAGAGCAAGTCCTCAGGAAGTTTGTCCTGCCAGTTTTCTTGTTCCTGAACATCATTCTTAACTCTGGGCTTCCTGAAGCTTAGTTATTCTGAGAGATCCCCAATAATAATCTAATAGACCACCTTCTTGCTTAACTTGCTTAGTGTTAATGCTCTATTGCTTACAACCTGAAGAACCTTAACTAATACGCAGGGTTCGTAGGGCCGATAACTTGATCAAACAGATAATTTAGCACTGCTTCGCTCTCTTCCTACACAGTAAATATCACAAGATTGGTACCCAGAACTAGAAATGGAGGGCTCAGGCTGACTTCTGGCTTGAGGTGGTGGTCATCAAAACTTTCCTGTCACTCAACTGGCATTTAGTTGATGCCTGGCCATTCCATTACTGAGTCATTTAAGTTTAAATATGAGAATATCTCATCTCCCCAAATAATTTCTCCTGCAACGTCAAAGACATATAGTTGGTTCAAGATAAAGGAACAAATGACAAATGAGGTCATTCCTTTTGTTTCGTGGCTTTTTAGTATATGTGCTGCTGAAGCAAGTACAGTTTTGTGGCTTTTTACCTTGAATGTGGATGATTTACCCTAAACTGTTGCTCTTAAATATCTTTTAAACTTGTAAATCACTTTAATAATAAAAATCACTATCTGTTGAACACGACTTTATGCTAGATCCTTGATCTTTTATGTATTCTTTCCAACAATGCTCTGAGGTAGGCAATGCCGTTCCCATTTTAGCAGTGAGAAACTAAAGCTCAAAAAAGTTGTAACTCAAGGATAGACTCGCAGTAAGTGACACAATCAGGATTTGAACCTAGGCAGACTTCAAGCCCATGCTTTGCAACACCACTATATCCTGTCTCTGTTCTCTATTCAGCCAACTGCAATTTAACTCTTTGATGTCTGGTTGGTTTCTCCAGTGAGCAAAGCTTTATGGAATGTGTATATTTTAGTCTTACAGGCGCATAGCAACTTTCAAATCTATCAACCAGCCTTTCCCCCAAATAAGAAAAGATTACAAAAGTCCAGGCTGCTACTGCCAAGTGCCTCACAAAGAGAATGCAGCAAGAGCTGTTGGAGTCATTTTGGATGGTACAAGGAGCAGCTTATGAAATGGAGAAATTAGGATGGATCTTGGGTACACTTCTGAAGAATGAGATCCATTCGAGTGGTTTCTTCTGGGGAGTTCTGTGATGGAAAACACATTGCTGGAGTTATTTAAAAATGAACTATCGAAGCTTTTCATGGACCAATCCTCTGCTGATAGTGGGGTGGACAAGATACCTTAATAGGTCATTTTAGTCTCTGATTTCTTTAAAGACTTATGGTACATTGAGATTTTTGATGAGTTTAAGTCTCTGTCTAAGTACCCAAGAAGTTTCCCAGACTGAGCTGTAAGTGACTGATGTGTTAGAATCCTAGGATCCAGTAACTGAGGAAGCTCCCCATGAATACATTCTCTGATGCTCTTCTCCACAGTTCTCTTGGTCAGCTTTGAAGAGCCCAGGTCCTGGCCAGGGCACTTCTGGGCATGCAATGCCAGTGAAGCAGATCCCAACCCTACCTCTCTTTGAGTGCTGTCACTTAAGTACATCTCTGTGGTCCTCAGCCAAAGCCCCAAGGCAGCTGGGAACAGAGACATATGCTAAATAGTCTGGTTCCCCAAGAGTCAGAGCAGGCCTGCTGAGAGGCCCATAAAATCTCTCCTGCAATTCTTGGCCTCCATATGCTCCAAGAGGTGTTTGTTCGGCATTTGTTCTGCTTCAGGCTGGTGGGTACAGAGGGAGCTCGGCTAATGGCATTGTTTGCTGAGTTAATTGTTCTGTTTGATCTGAGGCTCTTCTAGGATGCACAGGGAAATGAGGTGTTTGGTCAGGATTTTCCTTGGGAGCAAAATTTACTTCACATCTTGGAAAGGAGAAGAAAGGGAAAAGCAGAGTCAGAGAAAAGGGAAGAAAGAAGCCAACAATAAATGTTTGGCTGTGCAGGGCAGAGGGATCACATATTATGAACAATTAGTCTCCAGTCAAGTTAAAACATACTTCTTTGGCTGGAAGATGAAGAAAGAAAAAAATATATCACAACCTACCTCTATTTGTAATGTTTACATTATTTATTCCCAGAGAAGATTTCTATAGTTTATAACAAAGGGTACATATAAGACATGACTATTACAATAAAAGATCAGACGCAACACTAAGGGCAGGAAGAAATGATCATACTCAAATCCTGGCTTAATTTGGCTAAAAAGTAAGTATTAATTTAGTCCTAGATAGTTAAAAATAAAGCTAAATACCCAGGAGACCTGATTTTCTCTGTCTAATGAAGGGATGAATGCCAGATCAGGAGGAGAAAGAAATTATTTCCTGATCCTAGATTTTGAGGAGATATATTGAGAGGATAATTTTTCTCTATCTTCACCCACCCCATGGGGGCTTTATGAAATAAGTAAAATAATTCAGAATAAGTATTTTGAAAACATACCACAGTGGTTACATATATGGTGCTTTTGCTACTATTGTAAACAATTTCTTCAGTAGTAATTTCATTTTTGGACTGGCTTCCCAGGGAAATGGGGATGAGTGGGATATAGCAGGAATTTCCTTAGCATCCACTGAATTTCTTTAGCATATTCGATTTTATTTGCCTTCAAATTAAATGATTGGAGGTCGAGGAGCTCAAGGTCTTTTGTGTAGATGAATGGAAGAGCACTTTGATAGAGGAATAACATACAGAGGGAATTATAAGATTGGGAAGAAGCTAAGCCTGAGACCGGCTGCCCCTAAGTCTGTTTAGTAATGACTGCTGTGGCTTCATTTGTGACTAAGCAGACTCTCACTACTTCTCTTTGCTTTTCATCCACCGTCTAGCATAAGTGGGAGCTAATGTCATTTACAGTTTTAGTAAATAACATATTGCCTTGGTGCTCCAGTGCATTTCTCCCAAACTCTAAGTTAAGCAGACTCTCACTACTTCTCTTTGCTTTTCATCCACCGTCTAGCATAAGTGGGAGCTAATGAGTCATTTACAGTTTTAGTAAATAACGTATTGCCTTGGTGCTCCAGTGCATTTCTCCCAAACTCTAAACCAGGAGTTCTTAAGATGGACATACTGATTCCGAATCTGCAGGTGTTAAGCTGTAGTGTGTGTATGTTGATAAGCCCACCAATGATCCTGATGTAGAGGTAGGTTGAGGGTCACCACTCTGGTTCTACTGTGTAATTTTGGAGTTGGGGACTGGGACACTAAACAGGAAGCTGATATTAGAATTAGAGATGTGATTACAGTTCTGTTTTATGCACCACCTCATCCATATTCTTTTTCAGAATTATCAGAAAACCCAAAGCCAGTAAACCCAAAGTAGTAACTTGCTACTTCACTACCTGAAATTGTGAGCTTCCAACCATTTCCAGGGCTCCCTCTTGGCATTTGCCATATTAACAAGACAAAGTAGGTTGAAGAGGATAGGAAGGAAGGATTTTTGTTCTGGATGTCACTGTATGTATTGTGTTCAGCATCCATTAACCAGCTTCTTTGTGAAGAGCCACTGTCAACTCCACTCTCTGTCCATGTAAAGTGGGAGAGTAGAATCAACTCAATTTCAGGTGTGAACT